TTTTCCCCTCTCTTCATATTGAATTGATCAAATTTTAGGATGGTTCACATTTATATTTCATAATAAATCTCCTAATCAAAGACATCAATTCATGCTCTTTTCAGACCTTACCATTTTTGGCCTTTAACAACAACTATGAGGTCAGTGTTTACTTGATGAGCCGGTCAATCCTGTATGACTTTATTACTATTTAAAGTTGTTGTTTTTTTTAAACAATTTTTTTTATGAGTTTCCAGGTTCTGTGAGAATGGGCCCTGATTGTCACTGGTGTGAGAATCTCTGCTGGTTGTGTTTGAGGAAGCTGTTGTGAGGGTGCACTGCGCCTGTCAGGGGTTCTGGCTGCTGGACAGGGGGGGCAAAAACTGACAAACGCTTTTGCTGAGTGGTAAGAATTCCTCTGCGAGCATCTTTCCAAGTTAAAGTCTCATATTTGAGCTGTTCGGCGGCAGCTAAGATACTTTTATTTTGAAGGTCTTGCTACATCCGGTGTGGCTCCTGTTGCTGTCAGACCGTTAGCTCGCCCGCTAGCTGCAGGCTAGCTAACCAGGTTTCAAAACAACACAGGCACGGTTCCACAGAACCGATGAGTCGTAAAAGAAACCGGAGTTTTGCTGAAACCAGACTGTCCTCGGACCTCCACGGCACCTTCATGGAACTTTCTAGGTCGGTGAGTCGAGCCGACGACGATTTCTTCGGGCTGGAAGACGACGAGGAGCTGCTGTGCTCGGTGAGCGACATCACCGAGCACCTGGGCAGGAACATCACCGTGGTGCTGGAGACCGCGCTGTCCGAGATCCGCAAGATGGTCAGCATCCGCATACGGGTGCTGAAGATGGAGCTGAGGGAGAAAACCGAGGAGATAGAGGCGCTAACGGCCCGGTTAGACGCGGTCCAGAGGGGCGGCGGGGAGCCGGCAGCGGAGGCGGCTTTCAAGAAGCACGACCCCGGTTCCGGGTCCAGGCACAGCGACGCCGAGCCCCGCCGGGCCAGGGCCGCCTTTCCCGGGGTGAAGAAGGAGAACATAGACGCCATCTGCCACTATCTTATGAAGGACAAGAATCTGAAAGGCTGCGCGGAAACGGACGGGGAGCAGGAGAGGGATGCTCCTCATGAGCCGGACCCGCAGCCCCTCAGCCTGTGGCCGGACGGCGGGGTGTCCGGCTCCGGGCCCCCCCCC